TTTGAACTTTGAGAGTGTTTAAACAGGAGAGAAAAGTGTGAAAATGTTCATGTCTGTCTGAGAAAAGTGTATAAAGTGTGTAGTGAGGGGTTTTACAGCCTTAAAGCATCTATAATAATTGTAAAAAAAGCTGGATAGTTCGCGAATTTCACCTATCGCGGGTTACTTTTAGAATGTAACACCTGCGATAAATGAGGGACCACAGTACAGAGTTTCTCCTGGTTTCTTTTGGCTGCACTTCCAGCAGAATAAAAGAGGTTTACCAGCAGATTATAATCAAGTATGACAACATTTTATACATTTCCTAAATCACCACCTTAATACATGCACAGTTGACACAAAGTTTGGGTTAATTCGTTGGTTTTAGTAGGGTATGACTTAAAAAGCTGCACATATAAAACTCATTTCTCTGTACAACAGGTACACTGCACTGCTCCAACAGCAGGTGGAGCAAACCATAATGATTTACCCAGTAAGAAGTAAACCATCTTCATAGTATAGAAAACCCAAGGGTAACCCTCGAGTTACCTGCTACATAGTACAGGCTTCATGTGATTGGCTAAAATGGTATTACATGATAACCTTTCTTTCACTCTACCAACTTTGTTCAATCTATTTTGATCAGTTTAAAATAGTTAACCTGACACAGGAGCATTTCAGCACGCTCAGTCACCACTGTGACCATCATGCCAGCAAAAACAACCCCCGAGTGGTTCGTGCAGGTTCTTACCCTCCAGTATTTAGAGCACACGACCAGCAGGCTGCTCTGAGTAAAGGTGCAGAAGGAGATGCTCTGGCAACTCTGACAGTAGATCGGTTTGGACTCCTCTTCAAACACAGGGTCCAAGTCCTGAAAAAACAGACAAAGAAATTACAAGTTAGATCCTGAGCAGAGCCATGCATCAATGCTGGAGACACAGAAAAGAAGCATTTTTTTCCTTGATTTTTAAACAACCCCCTGGGCTCAGGTGCCAAAAGTTACAGTTCCTCTAACGTCCACTTGAGGCTGGCTCCAAAAGTGAGCGACTCTCCACAGACTCTCATGTTTAAATGTCCAACTTTATATCAGAAATAAACATGTTTGCAGCCTGCTGCAATAAACAGTTTTAGACTATTGACACTTTCCTCCATCAGATTATAGTACTTTAAAATTAGGGGTGCGACAGGTATGCTGAAACAGACACTAGTAAACTTGTTAGGCCTGACCTCCACTAAATGCTGGTACCTTTTTAAAACTGTCCAGAAACCAATGGGTGACATCAAGCTGGCCACATCTATCTTTTATATACAGTCTATGATATTCTAATCTAAGTAGGGACTGGGGAGGTCTGTGTTTTCTTAGCTTTACTTTATTTACAGCTTCATTTACGATGGTGTAACTGAAGCCTGATGCGCGTTTTAATAAACACCTGTATGGAGATGTACCTGCATTCTGCTGACCTCAGGTGTTATGATCCAGACCTTCAGGATGCCCGTCACTGACACCGCCACAACCGTGTCCTCTGCAGAGAGACAGAACATAGCTTATTCACAAGTACAAACATGAAGAAGTCCACAGCGATGATGTTTTGTGCAGGGCAGTCTGCAAGCTAACATTCAAAGCAGTGAACCTGAGGGAAACTCTCACCTTGTGTGCGGTGGGATCGGATGATGCTCATAGAGCTAATCCAGTCAGGAGAGATCTTAGACACCAACGAGTACAGGACCTCCAGGCTGGTGGCATCCACCACCAAAATTTCTGGGTAGTGGCCATTACAGAGGAGACGCCCCTCCCTCTGAGTGCCGATGGTGAACTGGTAGTACTGAAGAGGAGGCAGAGAAGGAGGAGGGGAGTGAAGATGAAATGATCTGGATTAAAGGTCTTTTCAGTCACCTTGTGGCTTAATTTTGGTCTCTACTTTTTCCTGAAAGTAATATTAGGCTTTTGTGTGCTGGTTAAATACTTTTCAGCTTTTTTTTTTTTCCACCTGAGCTTTTTTCCCCTTTTTTCAGGGAAAAGGGAAATACACCTTAAAGCTTAGGGAAAGAGCACGACCATTCCCTTTGTATGTTCTCATTATAAAAACCCTACAGTAAATACTAGTTTACACTAGTATTGGGAAGCTCATCTGTAACCAGAAGGTTCCCGGTTCAATCCCCCAGCTCTCTCTGTCCTGGTC